TTACCGATGACATCTGATCGAAAAACTGATCATATTTTTCATCGGATATCCAATTTAATCGGATATATCCGTTTGTTCTTGCGCGATTGGATTATCCAATTATATTTAATCGGACATTTTCCTCAGTGTATTCGTACACTGAGAAAGATTTTCATCGGATAAACCAATTAAAAATATTTCTCAGTGTGTAGATATCCATTGGATATTTATTAGATACTTTGTTCTGCGTGGGTTTAAATGTTCGCTAAAGTGAGAAGCAATTCCGCGAGCCATGTAAAATTTCATTGCGTTTCTTGATCGCAGTTAATTTCGTTTCGTTAAGAATTCAATGATAGAGAGTCGAGCACGAATGTACCGACATCTCCCTGCGTCGAGCTTCCGTTTTTCTTTCAAGTATGCACCCGCGTACTCGATATTTTCGTTTGGCGCTCCGAACTTTTTCTCAATTTCGACGTTTAATCGCACCGTACTCGACCGTACGTCGGGAACAGCCACGGATTGCCGCGCGTGCACAGCTAAAGCCCCGAAGTCTGAATCTGAGGGATAACGCGAGACCGTTTCCCGTTGCGTCAGTTCTCCAGTACCGTCCAGGATTCTCCTTCGTTTCAGCAAGCAGCAACAGCAATAACAGTGTGGCGAGTGGGATCCCATACTGCAGATTGCGTCCGTGTTCGCGAGGCACAGGTACCTATCTTACATGTGTCGCCGCAATTGCGAACGTCTGTGAGTGTCCGTCTACCCGTATCACTGTTGTCCTGCGGCGTACTCGTCCTGGCGTCCCGGCCAGGAGGAAGGCGAGAGAGAGAGAGAGAGAGTGGTGGCGTATCGCCGCGAGATATAATAGAACGAAATCGAATAGAACGGAACCGTCGCGCGTTCAAGATATCTCTTTTGTATGCCTGATGACTTGAGACGAAGTCGTCGTCCCCTTTTCCCTCGCGCCGCCCTCGCCTGTGCATCAAGCGTCACAAACGCCTTAACGGTGACTAAATTGGCACTTGTCGCCCCTCACCGTAACTTCGGTTCTTCTCGATTCTGCCTCCGATACTTCCTGCAAGCCTCTTCCGCGATGTCTCTCGACTTGCCAATGCTTCGGCAATTTACGAAAGATAAATCTCTCGGAGGGAGAAGGAAGTGCGGAAGATTAAAAGAGTACCACCGACTGCGAGCACACCGAAGTTGACGAGGAAGCGGCGCGCACGTGCCGTAAAAGAGAGGAAAGGGAGGCTCCGAGGGAGCCAGAGAGAAAAGTGGAAGATACTCCGCCTCGCGCAGGAAAATACGTATCCGATGCCAACTAGCGCTGACTATCCCCGAGGGAACGAAGAACGACTCGTAAATACTGTGTTAACAGGGCGTACTTACAGGGAAGAAGAGAAAGGAGTTCACTCTGTGGCGCGTTCTCTCGAATTACTCGACTGCGTACCGGTTCCAGTTGCAAATCTGAATATATAGAGCCATCTTATCTGTTGGATACCGTAAGGACGTTGCCTGTGATTTGTAAAAATGTTTGATACTTGGAAAAAGAATTCTTTTCGAATGATCTCTATGCCATAACTGTGTCGTGTAGCATATAAATTTAATAAGATTTAAAATGATCGAAGCGCGTATCGGAAAAGTAATGAAATTGTAAGCGTCCTACGACACAGATTACAAAAAATTATTAGAACGTCTTATATCGGTGACAAGGAAATTATGTCTAATATAAAAAACTAATATAACGGAGTGATCGGAAAACATAATATAAAAATGAAATTTTCGAATTCAACGATTATCTTTAGATTTTTTCAGATTTAACATCTTTATGGATGCTTAACGGATGATTGGACAATTTCCGTTATTTCTGTCGTTATAAAATTATAATCTTATTTTACAATGACAGTTCGAGCATGACCCGCGGTGTAGAAATTATTTTTAACCCGAATAGAACTCTTTAATTTAATAAAATTTAGCTCAAGACCAAATTCAATCAGATCACTTCCTGGAACAGTCTCAATTGAAATTGATACAGTGCCTTCTCAATATATCCAGAATATGTTTAAATTTGTCAGTTCAATTAACAAATAACGGTATGATAATGTAATAATAAATACGGGTATTCCGGATATTTAATATAAATACGCAGTGTACAAGAGATGCGCCACGGCGATTTAGACGTCCACGTGCCCGGACGAGTTGCATTCTTTAATTAAGTGCAACTGAGCAGACACACGCGCGCCATTTTAGGTATCTCTGCAGGTGCAAAGCGCTTTAGGGTAACTCCGGGAAGACCGCAGGAACTCATTTCGCGGCAGCAACTTTATGGAGATCGATGCTTCGGAAATAAAAGCTCCGGTATAACACGGGGCCCACTCTCTCCCTAGAGTCTGGCAGGCTCGCTGCCAGAGCGGGATGGAGTGCCATGGGATTTGCCTATTTCACCTACCCGTCCACCCTTCTCTCTCTCTCTCTCTCTCTTTCTCCCTCTATCTCTATCTCTCTCTCCTTCTCTTCTCCCTGCCCGTTCAGTGTCCCTGCGAAAGTTTTACCGCCGTCTTGCTTCGTTTCGGGGACCATTCTCGATTCCAGCGCACAATCAAAGTTACCGATGAATATAAATGCCGGGGCTAAAAGCAGTCAACTCAACGTCACGCGTTCACATTTCCCTCGAACTCTATGAGAAGGCCAACGACCCATCATTTACCTCTTTAACGAAGCAATTCCTACGTTTCGCCGTAATGCACCGCTGAAATGTTTCTTTATTTCGTCAATTGCTTCATTGGATTGGAACAATCGCCGTGCGTTGGGACGTTATCGCAAAAAGGAGAGACTTCACTCCCGTGAAACGTGGAAGCGGAGCGTAGTCGAATCTAATAAAGTAAACTAGAAACACATTGTCTCTTACTTTTTATCGCGTTTATCGCATTTTATGGGCCAATTTTATGTCTGAAAGGTTAGCGACGCGTATAAATGGCAGGACTAGGACGTAGTCAATTTGACGCCACTCTCCGGCAATAGACTTCTCTTTCGATTCTAAAGAAGCCATCGATCTTTCCGCACACTCGACGCCACCGCCGTTTGACCCGTCGTACTTGTTCAATATGTCATCGGCCGAGAATCTCGGTAAATACAGTACAATAAAAAATATAAGAGGGTCTTTCTTTTTTTTCGTGGCATCAAACACGATGAAAATGAAAAAGCGTTCGATATGATGTATGAAGAGATCAAAATAACACAGAGCTTACTAACAAAAACGTTTGCTAATCATTGCCTAATTATAATGTTTACCCACCGTATTGTAAAGAGTGAAAATTAATACAAATCTTGACGATCTTCAATTATAAGTTATTTCTTTCTTCCCAAGTTCCCTCCTCAATTTTCCAACGATCTATCCCCTGCGAATTGAATCTATAAAATTTTTCATATACAGAGATTACAATAAAATTTTCTTTCTTCTACCAAACGGATTGCGGTCATAAAAGTTGAGCACGACGGCGGAAACGAATGACGTAACATTTTACATCCTATTCTGCTGCAACTTAGCGTTTACTTACACTCAATATCGCGATAACTGTATCGTCATAAATCATGTACCTGTATATGTGGACTAAGAAATCCGTGCCGAGAAAATAAAACCGTACGATGGTAGTCCAAGCTTAGAAAGGACGGTTAATAATAAATAGTTTTCCTCTCTGCGCTTTACAACAAAGAGATGCCTCAATAATCTTCAATATTATATGCAGGGTATAAACGCATACAATGTATTATGAAACGTATGTATGTGAGATATCTCACTCGAGTAAACTTGTGGAAAGTTTAATTTTGAATACGAATGCGCAACGCGCGCTTCGAATTACCTCGTATTATTAACGCGTTCCGTCGTGGTAAAATCCCTTCCGGAACGATTGAATCGCTCGGATGTCGGCGTGGACATCCCTCGGCGGAAAACGAGAAAGAGAGGATCGGGAGAGCGCGTCAAGAACGTAACGGCGACAAATGACGTGTCGGCGAACTTGACTCTACGACAAATCGACTTGTCGCGGAATCCTATTGTTGCCTGCTGCATGTTTTCTCGAGCCCTTTCCCTTTTTGCCAGAAATCCTATCAGACTTCGTTCGACGTTGCACCCGAGCACTCGGGAATGCTTGCTTACTCCGCGTTTCATTCGATTATTCAACATTTGCGTTAACAATAGACGCTTATCATTCGCCGGCGAGACAATGGACCGAATACACATTAATTTCGGATAATCGTCGAGAGCAGCACGAAATGATCTTAATTGCGGTATATTCCAAAATTATAACGACAGCCACTTTTTCATTCCATTTTCAAATTGTTCAAATATGGCAAATGTCGTCGACATTCGAGCGAATCAAAGTATAATAGCGAATTCGGTTGCTTGCACTGGTGCGCACTGAGTGCACACCAAGGCTTGTTTACAGTCAATTTTTGTATTTAAAAATCGTCTTAAATATCTCTTGAAATATTTCGTAGCCAGTAAAATAATCTGTACAGCATCCATACGGATCATTTTTTGGCTAAACACTCTTTGAACATGTACTTAAGAATTAAACAAACTTAAATATAAAAATTGACTACAAACTGGCCTGAGTGTGCACTCAGTGCGCACTAGGGTCTTTCTGGGTCGAAAACGCCTAAAAAATGTTCCTGATCAAAGTCCTCGCAAGTCTCTCGGTCAACTATTCTCCTTTTTTTTTTCTTTTAATCGAATTTCAACGCTCGCTCTCGCTGAGAGCGTTAGGTAAACCTCGCTTATTCGAGGCAGCAGTCGAGAATAGATTTCTATAAGTTCTCTTTTCTATCCCTCGTATCCTTCCCTTTCTCCCCAGTCGTGTTCGGGATCTCGTTCTTACGTTTCACGTACGGCTGGCCCCTCACTGGACCACGTTCTTTCTCACCCCGGAGCTTCCGGCCTGGAATTTCCGGCTTAAACTAAGAGCTAATAGCACAGACCGAGCGATACTCTGCTGTATTTTTATCTCCCTCGCCGCTAAACTTACCATTTTCCTGTGTGTTCTCCTTCGACTTCATGACAGATTGCCGGTTGGCCCGGGGTTCGCAGATGGGATTACCGCCTTTCCCGCGATCGAACCGCTTCGCACTATCGCCTAAGCACCCTCTGCAAGCTGCTGAGACGTCTATTTGCGCCGCCGCCGCCACCCTGGCTGTATTCAATACCTGGACAGATCATTATCCTCTTACCTACAACACGTGGGCGATAAACTTGAGAACTAGACGCTACCGAGTCGCAGGGGGAAAATTACGGGCGTACTGCGAAATATTGTCAACTGCAAATTGTTCCGTCGGATTTTCGCAAGCGAATAATTCTGCGTAGACATTTCTGCCCCGTTCTTTACTGAAGGTAGACGTTCCTTCTCTCAGCGTCACTCGGCGTCCGACTGATATATTTTTAAACTGTCAAGCCGGGCCATTACCAATTGCTGCTATTTAAGACAAACTTCGGCGGACTCAATCAGTAATCGCATTAATAGGTGAACGCGACATCGAAGGCTACTTACGATTGTAGGGGATAAAGTCGTCTCGGCGAGAGATCTGTCCCGGCGACGGGGCCGGGGGAGGAAGAGAAATGGCCCAAGTTGTCGGTGACAGAAAGAGATGCGCCACCGTGTACTCGCAGGATCGCAGTCCTGAGAGACGGATTGAATATTCCAATGCACCGGGGAGGCGATCAATAAATAGACGCGATTCCTAGAGAGCTATCCTGCGGGGCCGGCCCTCCTATCCATTACCGATCCCTATTCAGTGCGAGGACGATGACGATTCCTCGAATGACGAGCCAGATGCACGGCTCCGCGCCGCGCTGTATTCGCCTATTAGTATTCAGGCGACGTGACGCGCCGCGGTAATGACGAGAATGTAAGGCGGGTGCAGGAGGAATAGCGCCGACGCGTGTTAACAATATTCGGGAGGACCACGGTGTATATGCGCGCCTGATTATTATCGCGAGATGGATTCCCGTGAAGATCGGGTCCGTCGAGGTGCGAAGAGAAGACGGGCCGCCGCGCCGATCCCCCAGGTTCACAAGTTGACGGTCAAATCGATATCGATCCTGATTCTTCGGACCGTTTGCTTTAATCACGACTAGATTCTTTATTGATTTCGTAAGAAGACCCGTATAATACTTTGCCGATATTTTGTCGACGCGCATTTAACATCTACAGATGTATACATATCAATTTGCAGGGTTGGAAAAGTTATTTTATAAAAGTATCTAGTTACAGTTACAGTTACTTAAAAAGTAACGTCGTTACTTGAAAAGTAAAATCGTTACTTTGCAGCTACTTTCTTGCAATGAAAACAAAAATATCAAATCTGCATTTGAATTGCAATAAGCGTCGATAAAGGCGTTTATGCGCAAATGCAAGACCCGATGCGATCTGCGGAGGTTTCAAACATATATAAAGTAACTGTTAATGTAGAAGCAAGAGGAAACGGAAGTCCTCAGGCAGGCGGTGTGTGTATGTGTATGTGTGTGCGTGCGGAATAAGGATGGGCGTGGGAGCATCCGGGGGAAAAAGCCATACATATATCTAATTGTATCTAATTGTATCAAAAATGTCAGACATGATAAAATTTGATCTGATTATATCCAAATTTTGTTGCATCCATTTACAAGTATATCAAAACAGATGTGGTCAGATAGTCAGATAAAATCTGACCACATCTGCTTTGATATACTTGTAAATGAATGCATCAAAATTTGGATATAATCAGATCAAATTTTATCATATCTGACATTTTTGATGCAATTAGATCCAATTACATATATGGCTTTTTTGCCTGGGGAATCACGCGCGCATTCAAATAAATTAGTATATAAGACGTAATTTAGGTTCAGGTTTAGCACATAAGTGTAGAGATAAGCAGAAGAGAGGAGTTGTAAGAGGTTTGGGTACGCTCCTCAAAAAAGCGCCTGGTCAACCCTAAGGGGGACACAATAAAGACACACACACATACATACAAGTAACTATTAATGTAACTATTGAATTAGTTACTAATTATCGAAAAATGCAACTGAGTTAAGTTACAGTTACAGATGGGGGGAAAGTAACGACGTTAAGTTAGAGTTACCAAAAAATGTAACTGTAACTTCGTTACAAGTGACGAGTTACTTCCTAACCCTGTCAATTTGGTGTATAGGAAATATCCTACCAGTGTCGACCAATTATCGATGATTTAGTTGATATGTAGTAGATCATATTCAAGCCGAGTCGATAAATGGAGATGTTGCACGACTGCAATACGTCAATTAAAAAGTGACTAAATCGTGGACACTTACAGAATATTTTCCAGATGCCGTAATGAATTTTCTAAATATAAACTTGATTTGCACATGATCTCAATTTGATTTCGATAAGACATTCACCAGACTCCTCATCGACTCCTCATCGATCGCGAATCCGGGTCGCCTCGGCGCGAATCATAAATATTCTGTTACAGGTGCATTCCGCATTTTGAAACATTGAAAGCCCTTACGAAAACCGGAGCTCGATACTTTACACGTGAACGGGGCTGTCTATAAGCGGCCGGCAGAAATTAAAGCTGCATAAATCGGAGAAGTGTTTTTGATTGCGACCGCGACGACTGACTTCGATCGCTGGGATCACGTGTATCTCGTACCTTTCGAGGGCGACCTGGATTCCCCTTCCTGAGCGACTGAGCTTCCCAAAGTAGACTGAGAGCTCCATGTACCGGCGTGGGACGACAGCTCAACATTTCTTTCATCCGCGAGCGAGAGCGTCTCGGTAAACTTGCCCGCGGTCAGAGCCCTCCCCCGCTCCCGCGATACGAAGTGATCCAGGAGATTCAGATATTCCGTTTCCAGCCTCGTCGACACCGACGACGAGTACGCGCCGGCATTGCCGCCGCCGAAGAAGTCGAGAAGATCATCACCGACGTTATCCTCGCGCCCCGTCCCCGAATCCGGCGTGTTTAATTGGATGTAATTCAGCACCACCTCGCCCGGGGGGTAGTTCGCGCCGTATCGCTCCCTCAGGCTCTTCTCGAGGGACTTGTAACGATAAGAATTGTAGTTGCACGTTATATCCACCACCGGCAGCTCGATTCGCGTCGCCACGAAGGACGACGAGTGTTGCGCCAGCGGGATCGTTTTTCTAACGGGCCGCTGCTGCCAGCGGCCGGCGGACGCGAAGCGCGGCATGTCGGGTGACGAGAGGACGGGCCTCACCGGGCACACCATCATCCTGGATTCGGAATTGGAGTTTAACAGGCTCGGCAGCTTGGGATAGTGCTGCACCAGCCTGTCGGCACGCCGGGTGTCGCTCCTGCTCTCCGCCGAGCGGCATCGTAGCGCCGCGAGTAACTTCCATGGGTGCCGCAGCTACGAAATTCGAAATCTGACGTCGGGATGTGCGATAAATAAAACTTTTCGTGCGGCGGGACGAGGCGGGACAAAGGGCCGCGCGCTCTTACATTTTAACTTCGATATTACCGGGAGACACGGTCAAAATGATTAATGAACGTGCGTGACACTTTTTTTTTCAATTAGTTCCCCGCCTTTAATGCATCGTGTCCTTTTACACACACGGGGGGATTTGTTTCCCCGGTATTTAACCTACATACCCGCGGCGCAATAAATCATTACTGCCCTTAGACGAAAACAATTCGTAGGTGCAATTTACGATCAATTAATCTTGATCACGTACGACAAGCGTCTGCAGTTGTACGAGCAGCGGTAACATCAGGATCAAGCCCAAAATTATGGCGGAAACGCTTTCCATAGTTGCAGCTACCAAGAAATCTCGTCGCTCGCGGGATATGGGTCGGACGGGTCGTTTGCGTTAGCAGGCCATCTCGGAGCGTGCAACTGGCCTGTACGCGTCGCCGTCATCGCAGCCGTCAATTTTGATCGGGGTGGCCCGGGTCGTGATTGGAGAACCGAGGCATGTTAAACTTTTCGCGCGACGTGAAGCGCGACGAACTTCTCCGGCACGACGTGAAGTAAGCGGCGAACGACTGTCGATCGTTCGCAATGCCGCGTCGTCAGGTTGCGAACTACGATATTAGTTGCGCTCCGCATTGCAAATCTGGGGTGTCGGAGTGTGTCCTCTCGCATTAGAGTGAGCGAGAGCGGGGAATAAAGTAGAAAGAGAGGAAGAGAACTGTCGCATGACATTATCCATTGATATAATCAAATCGAATTTAGAGCCGAACGCCCGCGCCGTCGAGGTATTTCGATTGATCGAGTAGGTCGCCGCAGCGAAAACCGCGAACTCCCCCGTTCTCCGATCGCACTTCGCCGGGCAATCCCGGGTTCACGGGTCGACGAAGAATCTGGTGAACCTCATATTGAAATCAGGTTGAGATCATGTGCAAATTAATAATTAAGTTGATACTTAGAAGATTTCATTACGACATCTGGAAAATATTCCGTAGGTGTCCACGATGTGGTCATATTTCAATTGATATCATATTGAAGTCGAACCAACATCTCCATTTATCGACTCGACTTGAATATGGTCTACTATATATAAACTAAATCATCGATAATTGGTCGACACTGATACGATATCTTCTATACATGAAATCGATGTGTATATTGTACATCTATACACTGAGGAAAAATTTCATCGGATAAACCAATTAAATAGTGTTTCCAATGGTTAAGGCTTCCGATTAAATTATGGATACGTCCGATGAAATTTGATTGAAAAACCGATCACATTTTTCATCGGATATACAATTTAATCGGACACATCCGTTTGTTATTATGTAATTGAATCATCCGATTATATTTAATCGGACATTTTTCTCAGTGTAGATGTTGAACGCGCGTCGACAAGATCGCGACAAAGTATTATGCGGATCTCCGTCGATCTTCTCGGCCTGCGTTTAGAAACATCAAGTGCCCCAGCGTATCATTTTATCCTTGTTTAACGTACGGTGAGCCACAAGGATAAAACGACACACTGGGACGCCCGGGTGACGTTTCTGAACGCAGCCTTGCGAAGATCAACGAAGAAGGCTATCGCGAATCTAGTCGCGATCAAATCAAACGGTCCGAGAAATCAGGATCGATTCGATCATCGGACTTGTGAGCCCGGCAAGTCGCGAACGGCTCGTGCCGGTATCCCCGAGCGAACGCGCGCGGAATTCGGGGATTCCATTATAGCATAATAACTCACAAGATTCGGCACACCGGAAGAATGGAACGACGCGCGGTCGTTCCTCCGTAATAGGATGCAATTTAGACGCGGTCGAGACAGACAACGCCGCAGCCTGCGAAGCGTAAATCACGGCACGGCAGCGGCCCCGCGGGGGGTCGCACGTGGGCCGTGGACGGTACGAGGAAAGTGGAGGGTAGAAGTGCATATCTTAATTACAATATTCCCACGGGCGGAACACAGGGACCCTCGCCCGCGCTTCGCCGACCACCGTCTCCCTTGCCCCTGGCCCCTCGTATATACAACTCCTCCTCCTCCCCCCCCCTCTTCGCCCCTCGGACTTACCCAGGCAGCTTGTAGGAATTTAATTAATTTGCCAGTGGCGAGCAGGCTTGCTCCTTGTCGCCACTCTGAAATATTGTATCCTTCCCACCCTTTAAAATCCGTGCCAGCCGTCGAGCGCACCGCCCGTACCCGTCGTCTTTGCCCTCCGGCGCTCTCGCAATCCGCGCGCGATTACCGCGCTCGGTCGTGCCACCCTTATCTCCCTCGGTGCTCCCCCTTTTCTTTATTCTTTAATGGATACGCGCCTCGTGCCGTGTTACAGATCAGGTACGTTTGCGGCTTTATTAGTTACGGCCGGAAGTGCCGAGACGCAAGTGGGAAACGGTTGAGCAAGCCGAAACTTTCGTTGTCTGTGTACCGTTTCGCCGGCACGAATAATAAGCGCAAGTTCGTGCGCGCGCGCGCGCGCGCGCGCGAGAGAGAGAGAGAGAGAGAGAGAAGTTCTCGGGGATTTCGCAGAAAACGAAATACTTGAGAAACTCGGAACTTTCTTCCCGGAAGACTCCGCGGGAATACGCCACACGGTCGACAAAGCGGAAACACTCTTGGCGGCCGGCGGTAGCTGGCGGGCGCCGAAAATCTTTCGAGCTCGCGCGAAGGGACGCGCCCGTTATCCAAACATTTATCCCGTACGCACCGTTATGGCCGCTGCTCGAGGTAGCAGAAGATCTCCCAGTGTATGATGCGAAGTTCTCGAGGAGCCGGGCGATAATTTTCACATCAAATGCCCTACGTCACGTACGTGCGCCGTTACAACAGCGCCATCTTAATGTTTTCCGTCGCTTCCCCCCTCCCTCCCCCCCCCCCGCCGATTCTCTACACCGGATAGTACATATATGTGTGTTTCCAGATGTTTGGGGTTCCTGCGAAGTTCCAAGTTTCACCGAGTACCGGATTTACCACAACTTCCCGATTCCCAGCAAGTTTTGGGTCCCGCAACCCTTCGACGGCGATAATCACGTGACGCTAAGAACTGTTGCATCGCGGTATGAAATTTCATCGTTCCGAATCTCCGCGATATCACATCTACGTGCGCGCGCGCCTTCGAGCGCTGTCCGATAAACCTGCACCGCAGGTAAAATCGATATCCACATTTAATTGCGACACATTAATTAACTAGATGAAATACGATGAAATTGAAAGACCCCGCACTTTAGAATTACAACGTTCCTCAATAGCGGGGGAATTAATTTCGAGCCGAAGACGACGTCGCGTATATATAAAGACCGGTAGACTAATCGATACTGCTTGTTAGTTCTGCCTCTACATCAGTAGGTACATATTTACTTGTGTATGACTTCGTGCTTGATGCACCCTTCGTATCGCGGTGTGGTATTGCGCTACTATACGTCCAAATTACCATGTACATGTTTAAGCTCCGTCGGATAGTATTGCGCGATATTGGAAATTACATTGACGCGATTCATGTTGATAGAATATAAACCCAAGTTCTATCACCTTCAATAGAATATATTACACGGCGTTACATTTTCGTGGTACACGATTGCGCGCTCCTGAGGCGCTCACGACGCTGGTAAAGGAGAGAAAGGGACGTACCTTCGGCCCTTTAAACGTCTGCTTCTTGCACGTTGTATAATAAATAGATCGCGTTTAGAAAGCGGTATATGTAATATTTTCAAACTTCCGCGTTAAATTTTACAAGATGATTAACGCGCGTTGAAAATCATCGTTCGTTTGATTAATAGCGAATTCGGTTGCTTGCACTAGCGCGCACTGAGTGCACACTAAGGCTTCTTTACAATCAATTCTTATGTTTAAGGATCGTCATAAATGTCTCTTGAAATATTTCTTAGTTCGGTCCCAGATTTGGACCCTCTTCAAGTGCAGTTCAATCTGATCTCTCGTCCAACACATACATCTCTTGACACTTTTACTCGCGTTTAACAATTAACGACGCAACTTTAATTGACTTTGCACTCTTCAACCAAAAAGTGCAATCATGTTTTTACTAATATCTTACTAACATAGTGATATTGGCCAAACAAACGACCTGAGATTATTAACAATTGTGTGAACAGATTGCTTGAAAAGGGTCTAAATCCGGGACCGAAACGTCGTAGAGTTTTTTAAATAAAAACATTGGCCAGTGTAGGTCGTTAAAAAATTACATATCATTGGTTTTAAACTACTGGCGATGTTAAATCTATTTGCGAGTTATCATACTTTATGACTTGTAAAAAGTATCTGATATAATTTAAAATACCGCGTGCGGTTTTCCTCTTACGAGGAAGTGCTATGCCTAGCGGGAACTGCGTCAGGGTTGGCTGTCTAAAAATTACTTCAAGTGCCAAAGATCGCCCTAAAATTTCTCAAGTAAACTCTTAGATTTGTGAAGGATGTCTTTTAAGAACTTTAATTTCATTTACAGTAAATTTTCCCAAGGGAAATGATTTGTGTAGCATCCATACGGATCAGTCTTTGGCCAAATACTCTTGGAACGTGCATTTAAAGCAAAGTTAAATATAAGAATTGACTATAGACAAGCCTTAAGTGTGCACTCAGTGCGCACCGGTGCAAGCAACCGAATTCGCTATAAGATTACCTTGGCTAACATTAAACGCGCGGAATTACATGTCCGAAGACTAGCAGACCTTGGCAAAGCTATCGGCGCGAGGATTTTCGCTGAATAATTTATCATCGTTGCGCTCGATCTCAGATTACGGCGGGGAGATTAGGCCAACGTTTAGTCGTTAGAGTGGCCCGGCGTGTTACGATGGCTGGTCGAAAAAAAAAATCGTTTAACTAGGTGAAATGTGTG